TGCGCCGGGAGCTCGACAGGGGGAGTGTGTCCCTGTTGGTGCTGCTGAACCTCTCAGCGGCCTTCGATACCGTCGACCACGGTATCCTTCTGGGACGCCTCGCAGGGATGGGTCTTGGAGGTACTTTTTGCAGTGGCTCCGCTCATTCCTCGAGGGTCGGTCTCAGAAGGTGTTACTGGGAGACTCCTGTTCAAACCCACAACCTTTGTCTTGTGGGGTTCCTCAGGGTTCAATACTGTCTCCCATGTTGTTTAACATCTACATGAAGCCGCTGGGCGAGATCATCCGGAGTTTCGGAGTGCGATGTCATCTGTACGCAGATGATGTCCAACTCTGTCACTCCTTTCCACCTGCTACTAAGGAGGCTGTCGAGGTCCTGAACCGGTGCTTGGCCGCTGTGACGGTCTGGATGGGGGCGAACAAATTGAAATTGAATCCAGACAAGACAGAGGGACTCCTGGTTAGTCGCAAGGCCGAACAGGGTATAGGGTTACAGCCTGTGTTAGACGGGGTCGCACTCCCCCTGAAGACGCAGGTTCGCAGTTTGGGTGTGATCCTGGACTCATCGCTGAGCCTGGAACCCCAGGTTTCGGCGGTGACCAGGGGAGCATTCGCACAGTTAAAACTTGTGCGCCAACTGCGACCGTACCTTGGGAAGTCTGACTTGGCCACGGTAGTCCACGCTCTGGTTACATCCCGTCTTGACTACTGCAACGCTCTCTACGTGGGGTTGCCTTTGAAGACGGCTCGGAAGCTCCAATTAGTCCAACGGGCGGCAGCCATGATACTAACAGGAGCGGGGCACAGGGAGCATACAACTCCTCTGCTGCACCAGCTCCACTGGCTGCCGATTTGCTACCGGGCTCAATTCAAAGTGCTGGCGTTGGCCTTTAAAGCCCTAAACGGTTCTGGCCCAACTTATCTATCCGAACGTATCTCGGCCTATCAGCCCACCAGGACCCTAAGATCTTCTGGGGAGGCCTTGCTCTCTATCCCGCCTGCTTCACAGGTGCGGCTGGCGGGGACGAGAGACAGGGCCTTTTCTGTGGTGGCCCCTCGGCTTTGGAATGCCCTCCCCATAGAGGTAAGATCAGCCCCCTCGCTGATGGTGTTTCGAAAAAGATTGAAGACATGGATGTTCAAACAAGCATTCGATTAATCCGGTGCAATGAAATTGATGATCAAGGATTGGTAATCACAGACGATGAAATTGGATTGCGATTCTAGTTAAGAGATGCATTGGATTGTTATTGGTGGCCCAATAATATTGTGTATTGTGTATGTGTTTTTATGCTTTTTAAACGGAATATTGTTGATTGTTGTAGTGTTGTAAACCGCGTTGAGTCGCCAATTTAGGCTGAGAAACAGCGGTATACAAGCGCAGTAATAAATAAATAAATAAATAAATATTTGCTTTATTTCTATACCGCATTTTTCAGCCCAGTCAGGCGACTCAATGCGGTTTACACAATACAGGTTATCACAACAATGTCATAAGCAATTAAAACACATCATATACAACAACAAAATCAACAACAATTATCAAAACATGTCATAACGCCTCAATGAAATCAGATCCGTTCTCATAATCCTTGTGCCATTCCTATGTTCAATTTTACCGTCTTCCTGTGTTCAGTTGCACTGTTTAGCCAAACGCTTGTTCATAAAGCCAAGTCTTAACCTTCCTCCGAAACGCCAACAACGAAGGGGCCTGTCTGATGTCTACAGGTAAGGCATTCCATAGCCGAGGGGCCACCACCGAGAAGGCCCTGTTCTTCGTCCCCGCCAGATGCGCCTGTGACGCAGGCGGGACCGAGAGCAGGGCCTCCCCAGACGATCTTAATGTCCTAGTCGGTTCATAGGTGGAGATGCGTTCAGAGAGGTAATTGGGGCCGGAACCGTTTAGGGCTTTATAGGCTAACACCAGCACCTTGAATTGCGCCCGGTAGCAGATTGGCAGCCAGTGGAGCTGACTCAACAGAGGAGTGGTATGCTCCCTGAGTGCCACTCCCGTTAGCAACCTGGCTGCCGAGCGCTGGACCATCTGAAGCTTCCGGGCAGTCTTCAAGGGCAACCCCACGTAGAGCGCGTTGCAGTAATCTATGCGGGATGTAACCAGAGCATGGACCACCGTGGCCAAGTCAGACTTCCCAAGGTACGGGCACAGCTGGCGCACAAGTTTTAGTTGTGCAAATGCTCCCCTGGACACCGACGAAACCTGGGGTGAACTTTTCCCATAGTATTATATTACCACTATACTATATCCTAGTGGTTCTCAACCTGTGGGTCCCCAAGTGTTTTGGCCTACAACCAGAGGCGGCTCAACCATTACGCAAAGTAAGCCTTTGCAGTATAGTTGATTTTGCCCAGGGGCGCTCTTGAGGCGCTCTTGGGGGAAAATAGACCTTGACATATGCGAGTTCTAGTTATTGGGATGTATAGTTCACCTACAATCAAAGAGCATTCTGAACTCCACCAATGATGGAATTGAATCAAATATGGCACACAGAACTCCCACGACGAACAGAAAATATATATCAGTGATTGGTTGGGGGGGGGGGGGGGGGGGGGCAAAATACTGTTTGCTTACACTTGAAAATTACCTAGGGCCGCCTCTGCCTACAACTCACAAAAATCCCAGATGTTGAAGGCCAAATCATCTAGGGACCAACAGATTGAGAACCACTGCTATATCCGAAGGTTGTACCAAACCCTTGGTGTCATTAGAAACCCAAAGGGGTGCGACCTACACTATGGGCATATGCCCTGCTGTTTCCAAGTAAACATGTTTTGGAAAATTTAGAGTCCCACCAGGAAAATTAAGACTTGGGAACTCTACTTTGTGGGCTACAACTTCCATGTGTTGAAGTAGTTCATAGGGAGGAGGGAGCAAGCTTGTTTTCTGCTGCCCTGGAGACTAGGACACAGAACAATGGCTTCAAACTACAAGAGAGGAGATTCCATCTGAACATTAGGAAGAACTTCCTGTGAGAGCCGTTCAGCAGTGGAACTCTCTGTCCTGGAGTGTGGTGGAGGCTCATTTTTTGGAGGCTTTGAAACAGAGGCTGGATGGCCATCTGTCGGGATGCGATTTTCCTACTTCTTGACAAAACAGGGTTGGACTGGATGGCCCACGAGGTCTCTTCCAACTCTAGGATTCGATGATCTTTGGCATGAGATGCAGATTGCTAACAAGAAGCCAAATCTACCCTACGAGCCTGACTCAATCTTTTGGGGAACACAACGCCAAGCTCTTTAAAGGAAAATCTTTCAGCAAAACCACGGAATGTTTCTACCATCAGTTCAAGCTGGGGAGAGCTTCTCATGGCAGCCTCCTTGATTTACATTCCAGGCCTCTGGACCATAAGGCAGCGGTTCTTGAACTTCCTAAAGCTCTTTCAGCATGTCGAAATCTGTCTTTGCTCGTAAATCCCACAGAGCTTAAAGCAGAAGGGGAGGGGAACACATCGACTTGTAATAGTCACAGAACTGAAATATCTTGGTTAGATTAGCCATGGTGGCGTTAACAACCTTCCTGCCAAATCCCTTTCCCCCCTTCTTCCAGTGGTACTATTTTGGATGCATCAATATCTAGGATTGAATGTGGTTTGACAGCACTTGAACTTGGAGGGAAGGATATTAGAGGCAAAGATGAAGTCCTTTGGCCACATCATGAGAAGGTGGGAAAGCTTGGAGAAGACAACGATGCTTGGGGAAATGGAATATGGCTATCATATCTCCTCTCAGCCTTCTCTTCTTCAGGCTAAACATGCCCAGCTCCTTAAGCCGCTCCTCATAGACTTGTTCTCCAGACCCCTGCTTGCTCCCTCCTCCCTGTGGCTTCCTCTCACATATTTATACATGGCTATCATCTCCTCTCAGCCTTCTCTTCTTCAGGCTAAACATGCCCAGCTCCTTAAGCCGCTCCTCATAGGGCTTGTTCTCCAGACCCCTTGATCTGCTCCCTCCTCCCTGTGGCTTCCTCTCACATATTTATACATGGCTATCATATCTCCTCTCATCCGTCTCTTCTTCAGGCTAAACATGCCCAGTTCCCTAAGCCGCTCCTCATAGGGCTTGTTCTCCAGACCCTTGATCATTTGAGTCGCCCTCCTCTGGACACATTCCAGCTTGTCAATATCTCTCTTGAATTGTGGTGCCCAGAATTGGACACAATATTCCAGGTGTGGTCTAACCAAAGCGGAATAGAGCATGGGGAGCATGACTTCCCTAGATCTAGACACTATGCTCCTATTGATGCAGGCCAAAATCCCATTGGCTTTTTTTTTGCTGCCACATGACATTGTTGGCTCATGTTTAACTTGTTGTCCACGAGGACTCCAAGATCTTTTTCACACGTACTGCTCTCGAGCCAGGCGTCCCCCATTCTGTATCTTTGCATTTCATTTTTCCTGCCTAAGTGGAGTATCTTGCATTTGTCCCCGTTGAACTTCATTTTGTTAGTTTTTGCCATTCATCTCTCTAATCTGTCAAGATCATTTTGAATCCTGCTCCTGTCCTCTGGAGTATTGGCTATATATATAAACATTTCTTTCTTTGCTCGTAAATCCACGAGAAACTTTTGGTTCAGAAATGGCTCCGTGACTGAAAAAGTTTGAGAACCCCTGCTCTAACTTGATGGACCCTGAATGTTACCCCAACTTGACGAAATCCTGGGAAAGCTGAATTGCTGCTGTCAGTGGAATATGGGCAGTTCTCCTCTACCCAAGCTTTCTGTGGTTCGAATTGAGCGCTGGGGGCCTCCCCTTGTTGCTGGTTGGAGGAAACAGGAGGGCGGTGGTGTCCAGGGTGGGGGGAGGTGAGCCCCCTGCCCCTCCCTGCCACACACACAAAACTTTTTTTCCTCCCTCTTGCAGGCTCCTTCCTCTCTTCCCTTCCTTCCTCCTCCCATCAGCTCCTTTTGCAAAAGGGAAAAAGAAGGGCGGGCTTTAGATCTCCGGCCGAGACCTCCAATTGGTCACCAAGCCTGGAGATTGACACCCTCTCCTCATCTGAAAGAAGAGAAGGGGGAGTTGAGGGGGGAAAAAAGTTTCACTCCCAGATCAGGGAAGGGACAGGGGAACATCACTTTTTTTGGGGAGGGTGGGGGGAAGGAAGGAGACCCCGGAAGGAGGAGCAGGGAGAAGGACTAAGGAAGAAGGGAAGGAAGGCAAGTGAGTGCTAGAGGAGGCATCAAGAAGACCATAACTCCTTGGAGAGGGCACCGAGACATCCCCAAAAGCCAGCAAAGCAACCTCCTCCTCCTTCCTCATTCCTCCTCCTCCTCTTCTTCTTCCTCCTCCTCTTCTTCTCCTTTTAATTCTCCTCTTCTGTTTCCCCCTTTTTGCAAAGAGGCAGAGCAGCCGAGAAGAAACTTTCCGCCTCTCTCTGTCTCCATCCCAAGCAAACTAACTTTTTTGGAAACCCATGGCTTTATAAAGTGTGCGCACTCCTCTGGGGGTGGGTGGGGAGGGGAATCTGGTTATTTAATATTTTATATAAATATATATATTGAAAAGAGAGAGAGAGAAAGAGCGAATATTGCACCAGCCTTGAGGTTTGCGTCTTTTGCACAAGCCCAAAATCCCGCTTTTGCCTTGGCGGACCATGGATACACACACGAGATGGAAACGGAGGACTTGGATGCTGGGATCTGTAGTGCTGTTGTTAGTCTATGCCGTCGGCCAGAGCCACGCAGGTAAGGACGAAATTACACATCTTGTTTTCGATTTTTCAACTTTTCGGGTGTTCGGTGCGAAAAATTCGTGTAAACTCCTATTATTGAACGAATATTCCGAATGCTTCCTAGGGTTTCGCAGACTCAAAACTTTTGAGTCTAAGAATGACATCTATATATACAATAGCTCTTTTTATGGAGAGGAAGGATGGCTAAATTTTCTTTTATTAGTATCCAAACATAATGTATTTCCCCCTTGGAGGACGTGTTGCTGGTTGGCAAATCTTTCCTTCTGGCATCTCCAGATGTTGAAGCTTCCCCAAATGCAATTTGTCAAAGGAAGAACATTCAGAAACCCAACTTGTGCTTGTGTTTTGGAGGATGGCAACAATGGGGAGAATTCCTTGTAGTCGTTGCAAAAAAATTCAATATCCGACGAATTTTTCGTGGCATTTCTGTGCCTGTTTTTGGAAAGGCCCCCCTTCCTTTTTCCCAAAGTACAATCTGGGATCAAAGGCGAGAACTTTGCAAACTTGAGTGAACTTCGGAAAACGGACGCCCCCTAATGTGCTTTCGAAGTACTTTCCATTATTAAAACCCTGCTTGTGTTTTATTAACCTAAAAAAAAAAATCCCCAAAACAGGATATTTGGGAAGGACGCCTGAGGACGTGGCTTGTGTCCCAGTGCTGCCCCTTCTTCCCCTGAATTCGGGGAGGACGGATGACCCCATAGTGCCGTTATAATCATGATCTCTGCAGAAAAAATGGTTATTCTTCTTGTTTCTGGAGCGTAGCCAGGTCAGATGAGATATGAAAGAGTGTCTCCAGGGCATGTGTTTTTGAAGTTGTCTTATTCGGATTAGGATGCAAAAAAAAAAAATCTGAAATGTTCTGCAAACTGAATTTTGCATCGTACTTAATTGAGCTATTCTTAGTACTTGGTAGTCCAAGTCCTTGCCCAAAGAGGATTGCATTCAGACTTCTTGTAGGACATTGGTTCCCAACCTTTTTTTGACCGGGGACCACTTTGACCAGGAACCACTCTTCAACATTAGTATCAAAAAAGTTATGAATCAGTTTTTAGTCAACTTGCCAGTCCAGTTCCTTGCCCCAAGATGATTGCCTTCAGACTTTCTGTGGGACACTGGTTCCCAAACCTTTTTTGACAAGGGACCACTCTCCAACATTAGTACCAAAAAGTTACGAATCAGTTTTTGGTCAATTTGCCAGTCCAATTCCTTGCCCAAAGAGGATTGCATTCAGACTTCCTGTAGGACACTGGTTCCCAACATTTTTTTTGACCAGGGACCACTTGAAACAGGGACCACTTTGACCAGGAACCACTCTTCAACATTAGTATCAAAAAAGTTACGAATCACTTTTTGGTCAACTTGCCAGTCCAAGTTCTTGACCAAAAATGATTGCATTCAGGCTTTCTGTAGGCCACTGGTTCCCAAACTTTTTTTGACCAGGGACCACTCTCCAACATTAGTACCAAAAAAGTTACAAATCAGTTTTTGGTCAACTTGCCAGTCCAATTCCTTGCCCAAAGATGATTGCATTCAGACTTTCTGTAGGACATTGGTTCCCAAACTTTTTTGACCAGGGACCACTTGAAACAGGGACCACTTTGACCAGGAACCACTCTTCAACATTAGTATCAAAAGGGTTACGAATCAGTTTTTGGTCAACTTGCCAGTCCAATTCCTTGCATTCAGACTTTCTGTAGGACACTGATTCAGAAAATTGCATTGGATACACCACATCGGCTCTAGTTTCTGATACAGAACGTATGCCATTGAGTAGTTGCCATCTGCTCACCTACAGAAAACCATATTTAGTAATTTAGAGCTGATGTGGTAGTAGTAATCTTTTGTGGGGGGTTAGCCTCTCCCCTCCTGACATCCCTGTTGTCTCTGCACTATAAGAGGATTTCACGAGACCAGTTGCTCTCGTTGCTGCGTGGTTTTGAGGCAATGGTGTAGTAATGGTGAGGCTGTGGATCATATTTTGTTCTTGTGGACCACTGGTGGTCTACGGACCACAGGTGGGGAACTACTGTTGTATGAGTTGGGTGGATTAAGAGATCACGGGAAAGGATTGGAAATTGGGAGAATAGCAATGGATTAGTTTATTCTTGGGCAAAGTTAACTTTTTGTTTTGGATTTTGGTTCCCTGTCTTTGGGAACCGAAACTTGGTTTGAGGGCAGGAGGTTTAAGTCAGACTCTCTATGGAAGTAGACATCCCCGTTGTCTCGACACTATAAGAGGGTTTGGTGAGACCAGTTGCTATTGTTGCAGCATGGTTTCAAGGTGTAGTAATGGTGAGGATGTGGACCATATCTTTGTTCTTGCAGACCACTGGTAGTCCACGGACCACAGGTTGGGAACAACTGCCTTAGGAGCAAAGGGCTGTCAGATGGCTTGCTTTCCAACCATATAATTGAATGACATCAGCTTGAAACCATAAAGGAGAAGACTTTATGGAAATTATGGATTGAACAGGACCAGCAGGGTGCATTGAATGCATTACCATGACCAGTGAACTTTTCCCATAATATTATATTACCACTATGCTATATCCCAGTGGTCTTCAACCTGTGGGTCCCCAAGTGTTTTGGCCTACAACAGAAATCCCAGATGTTGAGGCCAAAACATCTGGGGACCCACAGGTTGAGAACCACTGCTATATCCAAAGGCTGTACCAAACCCTTGGTGCCATTAGAAGCCAAACGGGGTGTGACCTACACGATGGGCATATTCCCGCTGTTTCCAAGTAAACATGTTTTGGGAAATTTAGAGTCCCACCAGGAAAATTAAGACTTGGGAACTCTACTTTGTGGGCTACAACTTCCATGTGTTGAAGTAGTTCATAGGGAGGAGGGAGCAAGCTTGTTTTCTGCTTCCCTGGAGACTAGGACACGGAACAATGGCTTCAAACTACAAGAAAGGAGATTCCATCTGAACATGAGGAAGAACTTCCTGACTGTGAGAGCTGTTCAGCAGTGGAACTCTCTGCCCTGGAGTGTGGTGGAGGCTCCTTCTTTGGAAGCTTTGAAACAGAGGCTGGATGACCATCTGTCGGGGGTTCTTTGAATGCAATTTTCCTACTTCTTGGCACAATGGGGTTGGACTGGATGGCCCACTAGGTCTCTTCCAACTCTATGATTCTATGTTTGGAGGACGCTGTTGGGTGTAGCCCAATGTTTCTATCACCTTAACCTCTGGAATCTACAAAGATTCCTTAACTTTAACCTCATGGTGTTGATAAGCATGATTTGGATTAATTGGAGATCTTCAGACAAAGTTTGGAGGGCCAACATTTGCTTTTGTGACCATATATACTCATGTATCAGTCTACCTCAAAGGCAGGTTTAAGGGCCAAAGCTATGGATGTTGAGATGACCCTTGAATAAGTTGAGGGCCATTCCACAGAGAGGAGAAACTGCTAGCATCAATTCAAGAGACCAACTGCCCCTGGTCACCTCCACCATTTCTCCATTCATTTGGAAAGACCAAAAGTAGCACAGTATTGATTGATTGATTGATTGATTGATTGATTGATTTCCTATATTTGTATATCACCCTTCTCAGCCCTTAGGCCCTTGTTAAAGGTTCTTCCAGGATGGATGAAGCTCTTGTCTTTCACCAGGGAAGAGGATGGTTCCGATAGATAGATAGATAGATAGATAGATAGATAGATAGATAGAGATAGATAGAGAGATAGAGAGATAGATGGATGGGTGGATGGATAGATAGATAGATAGATAGATGATAGATAGATAGATAGATGGATGGATGGATGGATGGATGGATGGATGGATAGATACATACATACATACATACATACATACATACATAGATGATAGATAGAGATAGATATCAGAGTCGAAATATAAGTATTTATATTGATCTATGGATATATAGACCCATATTTTGGGTTGAGTTTTGGACTAAATTTTCTAGGCTTACAGCACATATTCCTGCATGGTAACTAGTTGAGTGAGATCTCCCTTGAAATGCTTTCCAACGTTATGAGTCTTTCTGCTCTGCAGATAAAGAGTGGCTGCTCTCTGTTGAAGACATTCAGGGTGTTGACCTCATTTCCTTGGGAACTGGTAATCTATTCATTCCTCCTCCTCCTCCTTTCTCCCTCGGGCTTTTCCAAGAGTAGTTGGGCCCTGAATGCAACCTCAATTCTGGACACACAGTTGAAGAGATATGTTGACAAACTGGAATGTGTTCAGCATGATTTGGATTAGGGTCTGGAGAACAAGCCCTATGAAGAATGGCTTCAAGAGTTGGGCATGTTTAGCCTACAGAAGGGAAGGCTGAGAGGAGACACGATGAGGGCCATGGACCAAGATGTGAGGGGAAGTCATAGGGAGCGGGGAGCAAGTTTGTTTTCTGCTGCCCTGGAGACTATGAACAATGGATTCAAATGACAGGAAAGGAGATTCCACCTGAACATTAGGAAGAACTGAGAGAGCTGTTCAGCAATGGAACTCTCTGCCTCAGAGTGTGATGGAGGCTCCTTCTTTGGAGGCTTTGAAACAGAGGCTGGATGGCCATCTGTTGGAGGTGCTCTGAATTCCATTTTCCTGCTTCTTGGCAGAATGGGGTTGGACTGGATGGCCTACAAGGTCTCTTCCAACTCTATGATTCTATTATTCTTGCAGAACTTATACCTATATGAACCATGTCTTGTTGGAAACAAGGTTTCTTTGAACAGGATAAAGGTGGAGTCAGGTCCCTTCATGCTGTTTGAGACGGGAAAGAGACGTCTGTGCATCGTCTGGTGACCTTCCAAGAAAGTAATGGATGAGTCAAATGGAGGCGGAGTTAAGACACCAAAAAACCAGGTCATGCCTGACATTCTAAAAATGTTTGGTTGGTTTGGTTCTCTCACATCACTGCACAATTTTAAATGTCTAGACAAGGAAACCAGCTAGAGAGATGCAGCACATGTTAAGAGTTCAAGGTTGTTTTCTGATGCTCATTTTGTTGCAAGGAGGATATAT